ATTTCCCCTTGGACGGCCCCCCCCCCCCGAAAATCTGAATTTTCCCCACGCATGGGGGGGGGGGAATTGTCTGAAAGAAACACTCACTGTGGGCGGTGTGCTGTAAGAGTTAGGGTTTAATCAACGTTTTTCCCCGCCATTAAGTTGGTGACGTATATTGATTGCAATTGCAACGTAGTGTCCTAGACTGTCCTCGGCGTGCGTGCATTTTCATTTGACAGTAGATGAGAGACCCTTGTAGTGAATGGCAGTGCATAATTTCTCCTTCTGGTACCGAGCTGCGGCGTACATGTTGTTGCGTACCGTTAATAGATCTGAAAATCTAATCTGTTTTAAGATTTGGCTCGTAGAATGAACAATGCGTAACCAAGGGCTACACATCAGAAAAACGATACCAAAGCTAGAGATGCTAACGTATATTCGATTCACTTACTCTATTAAATTTCTATAAAATCACAAAATCAAATTTACAGAAACAAATTAAAAACTGTAGCGACTTAAAGCACATCAAGAGAAAATGTACATTACTCGAAAAATACAAGTATTAATTTACATACATTCATTAGGAGTACAATATTGCACACTCTCTCTCTCTCTCTCTCTCTCTCTCTCTCTCTCTCTCTCTCCCGTATAATAACCAAGTGGACCGTTATAAGATAGTCACTCCATTTCAGTGGGTCACTTTATCATGACGTCGTTTTGAGTCCTTCCAAGAACAGTAAACCATGTCACGAAACTCTGGACCATTCTAAAAAAAAAAAAAAAAAGCATGAACCATGGTCAGAAAAATATTCAACAAAAATGTTGATTTCAGATTAAAAATGTTGCATTAAGTGAATTACTGGACGGATGCTCGAACGGCGTGTGTCTAATCCATGGTCGAATCTCGGACGATGCACATCTTTCCTTCTTATATCCGTTTGTTTTCGAGAATAATTCATTCGAAAATCGAGAACTTCGAAAAATATGCGTATGATATTTATGACAAGTCTGCAAGACGGTTTTGATATTCACCAAAGTATTGAGTATGAAGTAAATATTCAATAGTGTTTTTCTTACTGAAAGTATTGTTTTGTTTTTTTTAAAAATATGATTAATTTTATTTCATGGGCCACCTTTGACCTCCATGGGCGCCGGAAAAATCTACCGGCTTCACACTCCCTCTCCTCAGACCTGGGCACAACAATCGAGTCTATTTGGGAAGGGGCGGAAATGTCGATAGCTGTTGGTGGAGAGAGGGGGATGCTGCTGCTAGGACCGCAATGAGTGAAGAATGTATTCATTATAATGAGAGGAGGAACTCGCCGAATACAATGCTATATCCAAAACTGCACCAAACGCTACAGATTGGAAAATGACGATCATAATAATTAATCCATGAGTTTATCCGATTGCTGCCAAGTGCTTTGGAAATGAGGTGATCATGGGACTTGCACTTCGTTTCAAGTATTTATAGATGTACCAGAATCCTTGCTATGCATTAGCTTCTAATCACTTAGTAATCCCACATATTGCAATGGTGTGCCATGATACAGTAATTAACATGAAATTCGCTGCAGGCGAATGGATGTTCTTTATCAGAATCATATTTGAAAGGTCATTGGATCGTTCGCTCACTCTTTTGTGAACTGTAAAAGCTCATACCATCCTACCATCCCCTTTCGGAAATATCAACGGTACCTCCCTGGTTGCGTTTTTGGGGCAATTTAGTAAGCTGTCGTTTTTCGGTCAAGTTTTTGTTGTCATTTCAAACAGTTATGATCAATACCATTGGCTGTGGTACATTAGCTGTAGAACATTATCTGTAGTACATAAGCTGTGGTACATTAACTGTAGAACATTAGTTGTAGTACATAAGCTGTGGTACATTAGCTATAGAACAGTAGCTGTAGTACATAAGCTGTGGTACATTAGCTGTAGTAAATTAGCTGTAGTACATAAGCTGTGATACATCAGCTGTAGTAAATTAGATGTAGTACATAAGATATGGTACATTAGCTGTAGTAAAATAGCTGTAGTACATAAGCTATGGTACATAAGCTGTAGAACATAAGCTGTAGTACATAAGCTGTTATACATTAGCTGTAGATCATTAGCTGTAGTACATAAGCTGTGGTACATTAACTGTAGATCATTAGCTGTAGTACATAAGCTGTGGTACATTAGCTGTAGAACAGTAGTTGTAGTACATTAGCTGTAGTACTTAAGCTGTCGTACATAAGTTGTAGTACATAAACTGTAGTACATAAGCTGTAGTACATTAGCTGTAGTAAATTAGCTGTAGTACATTAGCTGTAGTACATAAGCTGTCGTACATAAGTTGTAGTACATAAGCTGTCGTACATAAGTTGTAGTACATAAGCTGTAGTACATTAGCTGTAGTATATAAGCTATGGTACATAAGCTGTAGTAAATTAGCTGTAGTACATGAGCTATGGTACATTAGCTGTAGATCATTAGCTGTAGTACATAAGCTGTGGTACATTAGCTGTAGAACAGTAGTTGTAGTACATTAGCTGTGGTACATACGCTGTAGTACATAAGCTGTCGTACATAAGTTGTAGTACATAAGCTGTAGTACATTAGCTGTAGTACATTAGCTGTAGTACATAAGCTGTCGTACATAAGTTGTAGTACATAAGCTGTAGTACATTAGATGTAGTGCATTAGCTGTAGTACATAAG